ATTAATTCTTTGAATCAGTGGTTCTCCTATTCTTTTGAATCGTGTTTTCCTTGTGCATGTTGTGCCGTGTGGAATTATAAATGGGGGCTCCTGGTGTGAAGATTTTGTTCTGCCATTAAATTGATCACCGGTCCATGAGCCACTGACAAATTGGAAGCTGTCCCTGTCATTGGTGCATTGTATAATTTTTATGGCGAAGATACATTAATTAAATTGTTCTATGATCTTTACACATCCATACATGTCGAAAGAAGCTGGAGGTGTTCCTCGTGTTGATGGCATCGGATCGTATGGTGACAGTTCGGTTTACCTTTTAATTTCGTCATTTGCTGGCCCTTGCAAATGAAAATCCTTTCTTGGAGAATTACCTTGTCTCTTCGATAGTTTCATATCAAAATATTGTAATATGACATGCGGATGTCAATGATTTTTTACGATTGCATTTTTGAAACTTTTACATATCTACAAGAGTGGCTAGTTCAATGTAATGCTGAAGAGTCATGTGACGTTGATTATCAGGAAACGAGAACCGGATCCGAATGACGCAGTAATCATTTCTCTTTCATTAAATTGGTTTATCTTATAAATGAGATAAACCGTATTATAATAATAAAATCATAGCCTTTACAGGCTAAATTAACTGTTTTATGACCCAGGGGCTAGGAATTTATCTCTGTTTTTTGCCCTTGGGGCCTCAAATTTGAAAATAATTCTGCTGTTTCTGTGAATATGGAATACTTAGTATATTTTTAGGATAAAACACACTATTGTTAGTTTTATTGAGGTATTTTTGTCTCTCTAGTTTGTACATTTTTATGTCACGTTCACAAGAAAGCACATTCAGGTGTTACGGCTTATTTTTTGGTTTTCGACAGGACAAAAACACCCCAACAACAATATTTATCAATGATCTATAAGTTTCAGTGACTGCGAAGAGTAAATATAAGCATTGCTCAACAATTTAAATTACAAATGTGCATATATAATGAATTTACTTTGCATACAGGGCTTTAGGTAAACTATGCATATTGTAAACTGTGAATTTATGCTGAGTCATCATAGTAAAGGCCCCGGATTTTCTCAAACTTCATGAAATATTTATAAAACGTTAAATTTGAGTTAATTTCGATAAGACTTTGAAGATAAACCAGATTTGGTGAAATTCTACATGTTCTCTTTTTAACCCAATATAGGTTGCAATTCGGTAAATATAGACAATGCAATTTCCCATAGGAACTCCTTTTACGGCTAAAACTGTACCATTTTTACTATGAAGTTTCGTAAAAAATTATATCCTAGAATGGAAAGCTCATATGCACTACTATTTTTTTCAAAGGTCAAAATACAGGGCTTTGCGGCATATTTTCATCATTTATATGCCCCGAACTTCTAAGAGCTTAAACTTCAACTAAAATTCTGTACTACCCCTCCCTTCACTTTGGGTCTTCCACAGATTTCAATTTGGCCGCTATTCATGTGTACTTATACTGGTAACATTCCCACATTATGTCTCTACGAGATGAAACATAGAGATGATATCTGGGAACCAGTACATAAACAAAACAAAATATCTATGAATATTATGTATCTCCCAAAAAGAGGCGTGATTTGTGAAACAGCTGTATTTACAAAGTGCAACCTATAAATACTGGAATCTGGTTTCATGTGACTTTGGCAAATGAATTTACATGAGTGAAACTTTTTCTGATGGAGAAAAATATTTTGAGCATTTTGAACCCAAATTTACTTTGCATGAATTTGCACTTCTATTTTTGTCTCGCTTGACGGAGTCAAAAAGCTAGACATAGGTATGCTGTTTCCTGCGACGGCGGCGGCGTCAACATTGTATTAGTTTGTGATTATGTCTAGTTTGTGGTGAACCACAAGTTGTAGGTCAATCATATTTGGTATACAGTTGTATTAGCATTGGCACATCTCATTTCCATGGAGATTATTTGGCCCTGCCCCCTCAGTCATGGTCTATTGACTTTTAAACTTTTGCTTATTTTACATGTTTTAGTTTGTGATTAGGTCAGTTTATGAGGAACCATTAGTGGTAGGTCAATGATATTTGGTGTGCAGTTGTATAAGAATTGGCACATCTCATTGCCATGGAGATTATTTGGCTCAGCCCCCTTAGTCATGGTCTATTGACTTTGAAAATTTTGCTTAGTTAACATGTATTAGTTTGTGATTAGGTCAGTTCAAGGGGAACCATTAGTGGTAAGCCAATGTTAATTGGTATTCAGTCGTATAAGCATTAGCACATCTCATTTCAATGGGGAATATATGGCCCCATCCCCTCAGTCATGGCCTATTGACTTTGAAACTTTTGCTTAGTTTACATGTATTAGTTTGTGATAAGATCAGTTTAAGATGAACTGCTAATGTTAAGTCAATGATATTTGGTATGCAAATTTATTGGCATTTGTAAGAATGTTTCCATGGAGATTATATAGCTCCATCCCCTCTTCATGGTTCATTGACTTTGAAACTTTTACATAGTTTACAAGTTAATGTTTGTGTTTAGGTTTGTTTAAAGGGAACAACTTATAATAAGTCAATGATATTAGGTATGTAGTTGTATTAGCATTGGCGCATCTCATTTACATGGAAATGGTTTAAGCTGTGGTCACACCTTAACGGATAGCTCGAACGGACGCCGAACGGATGAAAAAAAAGTTTTCCGTTGACAAAATTTGTATCCGTTGGGAGTCCGTTGGTGTACTGACCATATAAAACAGATGCATAATGAATGGTTAACGGACACACACTGGATATGTAACGTTCGAGAAACGGAAACGTACTGGACAGAACGGATGTCGAAAGTACATCTAACAGACGAGTACCGCATAAAACGGACACCTAACGAAAGCGTACCGGATAAAATGGATGAACAAGAAAAGCGGGAAATTAAAGGCGGCAATATTAATACATGTAAATCACATAAACGTGACCTTAAGATAATTAAAAAGAAGGTTTATATTTGGAACATTTAAGTTCAGTCTAGCCTAAATAAGAGCTGTTTGATAGTGAAGACGTGCCCTTACTCAGCGATCCATTATGAATAATAAACATTCATGACATTCAAGAAATCTGACATACCAATAATTGGCATTTCTAACGCACAATTTTCAATTGGCATTTATTCGTTTAACATTCAGTACGTATCCGTTTTATCTGTTATCCTTCCGTTAATGTCCGTTTCACATACGTTTATCATCCGTTTATCATCCGTCTTATCCGTTATACGTTTGTTATACGTCTGGTAGTAGTCCGTTGGTGAATTGGTCTATTGGACCATCAACGGATGTATAACGGACAAGTAACGGATACAAAACGGAAACGAGTATCGTTAAAAACGGACGACTACCGGACGTTAAACGGACACTTTATCCGTTGGATGTCTGTTCGAAGTTTTGAACATGCTCAAAATTTTCCAATGGACAGAACAGACATCGATGGATAAAATGGAAGCTGAACGGACATGAAACGGATATTGACGGACGTCTAACAGATATGAATGGACTTCTAAAGGACATGAACAGATTGAAAAAAAGTTATCCGTTCGGCGTCTGTTCGTGCTATCTGGTAAGGTGTGACCGGGGCTTTAGCCATGTACCTCAGTCATGGTTCATTGACTTTGAATATTAGCCTAACTTGTTAAGTATTGCCATTTTAATTTCAACATTTGCATAATCAAAATTACAAAAAAGCGAGACATATCTCTGTGATAACAGTTTATTTTATTTTAGGGTAGATGTGCTAAATAGTATGCTAATTAAGATTTTCAGAAAACCAACATGCTATTTTTTAGTAGTAACAGTCTTTAAGAACATCATGTGTCATTACAAGACTATAAACATTGGTTAAAAATTTTTATGTAGAAAGTTGAAATATGTATGATTCAAGATATACATGATTTTTATGAAGTTAATCTTAAGGTAAAATATTTAGAGAGCTGTGAAAATTGAAAAAATTAGGTTGAATATATAAGGATTTTGGATTTGTGGTGTGACACCTCCCATAGTGTACCAAACCTTCAGGGATAACATTGTTTACTATTATTTATTCTGTAAAACATACTTCACCATCATTTTTTGACTATTTTTGTTATATCTTCAAAATTAACTGATTGGTTTAAACCCTAATTCAAATATTGAAATATGAGAAAATATATCCAGAAAATGGAACTTTTAAGGGATGGGTTGTGTATTATCTAATTATATATTCATGATTTTGTAAATAAAAAATCCAGAAATTTTACTGTGCATATTCTAAAGGCTTTGTCCTTTCAAAATACCATTTGCTAAAATTAAAAAAATAACAACATTACCTTTTGTATGACTTTACAATTGATATATGTTTTAAGAAATACATCTGTACAATTTCAATGACAGATCTGGAATTCAAATCTAGTAGGATTGTAAGTATAATTTTATTACACTTCACTTGCTTCATACTAACAGCCTTTCACTGGCAACAAGCTAAACTATTTTATCAGTTGTGCAATTTGTAAAGATGAATTCAAACAGCAATTTGGTAAAATATTTTTGTAATTGGTATTGTGAAAGGACAAAGCCTATATGCACATTTAATGACCAACTTATAGCAATAATAGCAAAATTCATCTATGGTCAACTTTGCCTAAGGAAATTTAAACCTTGGTTTCTTAATAAATTATAATAAAAAAATTAACAGGGAATTTAAGAGAAGTAAGTCATAAATCATGGCAGTACCAAAAAACTGACTATTTAGTTGATTATACCCTGGGGGAAAAACAATCCGCCAGCACTGGAGCTATATGGCAAAAATGGATCTATAATGAATATCCAAATTCATTTAAGGTCAACTTTGCCTGAGAGAGTAAAAGTCCAAATGCCATCAAATGATTAATAAATACCCTTTGTAGTGTACAATCTTAATTTATGAACTTGGATTCTTTAGTCCTCTAGTTTTATGTTATAAAAGATATAAACTTTAAAATTACCTAATTTCAGGAAAGGTTAGATTTTTCTTGTGCAATGTTTGGGCCAGATGGTGGACTTGTTGCCAATGCCCCACATATACCTGTGCATCTGGGTGCTATGCAGGAAACTGTGCAATATCAGGTCAGTAAATTGTAGGGAAGCATTGCATTTGCACCAATTTTTGAATAATGCAGTATTTCATTTGCGACAAAAATAAGTACTTCTTTTGAGCCAATTTACAGGTAAAATATTACAAAAACGTTTTAATATCAAAAGTATCCTGAATACCAGTCTCGTATAAGAAATGTTGTAGAGTCTTCGTATCCCCCCTGAACAGTATCCCCCCTGTGTTCACTTTTTCGAGGTGACAAAATGGACATAATTCATTCGCAGACAAATAGAGGAGGAAATACGTCTGTTATTTTTTTATACCTCACTTTTAGGATATCTAATATATTGAAAAACAGAAATAAATCGTATAGATGTACCCAAAAAAGTTGCAAGCAAGAATTAAAACAGATGTGAATAGCAAAGCCATTATAAAAACATTGAAACCAAGGTTTAGACCAGCAAATCGTACAATCTCAGCATTTAAGAAAAACTAAGCAGTGTTTAATATTGATTGATTTTGGTTGATTGATGAATGTTATTTGTGATGAATGTGTTATATTATGATAAAGAACTATGTTGTAACATTGTTAATTTTTTAAAAGGTCTCTTTTCAATATAGAACTATTATTTACCTGTATTGTTGACGCATGTAATTATTTTGGCGCAAATGAAATGGCAATCATTTCTCAAACAGTCCTTTGGTCAAATCAGTCTAAATTTAGACTCCTAGATTTCAATGAGGATTTTTTTCCACCAATTTCAGACATTTTCACTTTTTTACCTCTCTGATTTATGATATTAATTATTTTAACTTTTTAAACACCTGGAAAAACAAGAAAATAAACACAAATTCTGACCTGCATAATCTGATAAAGAAATCAATATTTTTTGGCCTAAAATTAGTTTTATTCAAAGCAAAATTTTTCTTACATATAAACGATTTTTTACAATTTAAATTTTCTCTGTCATTGGCCCTGCAAGAACTGAAGAGTTTGTTAAATGTACATTTTTTTTACACTCTAAGATTGCATTTGTAAATAAACAACATCTAGGACATTTATGGTTTTTTTTTCAAAATTAGAATGGTTATTTAGGCAGGTAGTATCAAATATTTTACAGTTCTGTAATCTGTATATCTGTCTATCTACTCTATCATGAGAAACTGTTACAGAACTTTAGATATTTACAAATCTTAACTTTAACAGTATACGTTGATGATAACAGTCAGAGTTCAAACCCGTGACCTGCCAACCTCAAGTTGAGCAAACCACCACAATACCACCAAGGTGGTAGTATAAGTTGAAATTATTGAATTCTGTTTTTATTTGCTTCAAACATTTACAAGAATGGAATATTGAATAATTGTTTGATATTAACAGTCAGTTTGGTTTAATTTGTCAAAATAAGCCCAAAAGCGTTGCTGATACATAATTGATTTGCAATTGAATAATTCAACCTCATTTAGATCATGCAACCTTCATTGTGAACATTTTGTGCATGTGCTCTGCAAGTTCAGTTATTAAAAAACATGTCATCTGAAAAAAAGAAACTACAGTCCAACAGGAAGACCAATTTTGTTGCCTTTTTTACCTTCAAATGAAACATTCTTAGGATACAGGTAAAATGATGATGTACATTATGTTTTTTTGTCCATGGTATGAAATAAAACAGAAAAAACATCATATACTATTGCACATGCTATTTATGTTGATCTGTTTTTATCTATGATACAGTATATTTATATTTTGGGGTCATCTGTACTCTTCAATGGTCATGTCTATGGTTAATTAGAAGGCATACAGTCACAAAATATTTATACTTAATAATGATTTCAAGCTTTGTTTATTGTTTCCTAGTGAACTTTTGCAATTCAGATGCATGTTTTTGTTTATTATAAATCATATTTGAGAGTTTTAGTCATTCTGTAGACATGAATTTGGCAGCTAATGCCCCTTTAAAGCTAAAATTTGTTTTATAGATGCGACAACTTAGAGATAAGATGAGGCCAGGTGATGTTATACTGTCCAATCATCCACAAGCTGGTGGCAGCCATTTACCAGATTTGACTGTGATCACTCCTGTAAGTCATTATTTTTCATTTAGATTTCTGATATCCAATCAAACTCAAGTTTATTGCAGGTATCTGCCAGACTTCATTGAAATATAACAATCTATCAAAGTTTAAATGTATTTATACTTAAGGTGGATCATTGGTATATATTTCCCTAGATAGAATTTTCTTATACTTTGTCAAAATGTAGATTTTACCATTCTTTTTTTTCAAAAATACAAACAAAAAAAAGAATGGGTCACTGTGCTATTTTTAAAGCTACAAGTTGTGCAAAATTGCCCAAATTTGCATTGATTTTTCATGAAAAAAACACTTTTTTTGTGAATAAAAAGAAATCTATGAGATAGAATTTTGAAATAAAATATGAGAAGATAGGTTTTGTAATATGCTTTAAGAAAAGAAAAAAATGGTGTCACCGAACTTGTTTTCTTGCTACAAGTAAAAATGAAAATTTTACTATTTGAGTTATCTCCCCTTTAATTACTAAGTTGACAAGTTGATTCAAACAAAAACAAATATTTGTTATTTGTTAAAACAGTCTGAATAATTCAATTAATTACTTATTTTTCTTTTAGTTATTCAAATAAACAGTCTACACATTAATTGCCAATCTGTCTCAAAAGGAGAAGGGGCATTAAGGCCCGGTTTTGGCCCAAGAAAATAAAATGTTTGACAACTATACCAAATAATTTAATTGGCACATAATGTTTGGAAATACATAGAGTCAAGAAATATAAATGAAAAACATAAGATTTTTTATCTGATGATGTCACAATAACGTCATTAAATGTATCTTTTTCATGAAAATGATGAAAATACAGAATTTAAGCAGTTTTCCATTGTTATTTCCATTGTGGAAACATTGTGCACAGCCAAGAAACAACAAAATAATTTAAGAGAAGCTTTATTATATAACTATTGACATAATCTCACCAAATATAAAGTTGTTTCTTGGATGCGCACATACTTTGCCAATCTAAAATATACTTTAAATTTGATGAAAAACAAGGAAAATCGAGAAATTTTACGAAATATACAAATTTCGTCATGGTTTGTTGCCATGGTAACTTGTTGAATGTAAGTTATATTTTTATTTTCTGAATACCTTGAACCTCAGTCTAGTTAGGACAAATTTAAGAATATGTATGATAACTTTTAAATTTGCAGTAATATTTGGGCCAAATAAGGGGCTTATTGACCCTACTCCTTTGCAGATTTAAGCAAAGAACTAGACCGATTGTGTACTGCTATTTTACAATACAAGATGGCGGTATACAGTAAATCTACCTTAAGACTTTAAAATTAGTATTTGCTGCTTCTGTACCAAACACACAGCATTAAGAAGTAAGACTAGTTGTGAGTCAAAATGTTTGGATGTCTAAGTAGAGTAAAATGTCTTCCTTTTCATATTATATTTCATTCCAGGATAAGTTTTTTTCAATTTGTATAGTCATCTGATAGTGGTATAATTATTGCGAACCCAATGAAAGTTTTCCATAGTGCCATCTCTATCTGGTCAAGGTATTTAAACTTTTGTAAGTTCTCTTGTCCCATCAAATGAATACAATAGCTATTGTTATCTGTGTAGTTTATTCACTGGGACCTTTAAATTTCTTCTAAGAGAAATCTATCATTCATTGATTAATTTACTTGAGTCATGAACAAATTTTCTTATATATACACAAAAATACTTTTTTTATACTCATTAACTGCCTGTGATGATGTATTTATTCAAAATTGATAATATATTATCAATCTTTTCAATATAAACACTGATTTAATCATAAAAAATTGTTTTCTAACAAAAGTTTAAGTAATGTTCCCATTGAAATTTGCATTTTTTTTGTTTTTGTTTAGTTATATAATACATATAAGTAGGTCTTAATTTGAACATCATAATTTTCAAGTTTTTATTTGTCAAACACGCACAAAAAAACAAATTCTAAAGTTTTGTCAGAAATCAACTTTTATTAATGTTTGAATCACTGTTTACATTCATCAAACTGAAAATATCTTATTAATATTGAATAAATACAACATCACATGCAGTTTTGAGTATAAAACATGTATTTTCGTCTATTTAGAAGATTTTTTTTTACTCAGGTAAATTAATCAATGAGTGATAGATTTCTCTTAGAAGAAATTTAAAGGTCCCAGAGTATAAACTACACAGAGAACAAAAGCTATTGTATTTATTGAATAGGACAGGTGAACTTACAAAAGTTTAAATACCTTGACCAGATAGAGATGGCACTGTGGAAAACTTTCATTGGGTTTGCAATAAAGGCATAAAAGTACAAAGGATTTCTACATTGTCTGCAAGTGCAAATATTATAATATATCATGAAAAAAACTTTTCTCTCATAACAACTTTGACTGATTTCTGATTACAGGTTTTCTACAAGTCAGAAGAAAAGGCAGTATTTTTTGTGGCAAGTCGTGGCCATCATGCTGATATAGGTGGCATAACACCTGGGTCAATGCCACCTCATTCTAAATCAATACATGAAGAGGGAGCTGTTTTTAAATCATTTGAACTTGTGAAAAATGGAGTGTTTCAAGAAAAAGGTATAAGACTCATAAATTTATACTTAAGAAACTCTTACTTTATAGAGTATGTAATATTCTCCTCATTAGATGTTGATAAAATTCTTGTAGTTAGAGACATATGTGTTGCTTTTCTGGTGTCCCATTTGTTAAATTCTGTGATCAGTATCAACAAAAAATTAAATGAGGCTTTACATCAATGAGACAGCAACTCAACAATACAACACATAAAACATATAGAGGTAAACATACAATCATCAATGATAAACTATGTCTAAACTATATGTCAAGCTCTAAATTGTCCTGAATCTACAAAATTAGTCAATCATTTTATTAGAACTACTTAAGATCTACAGGTTCAACCAACAACCATCTAAAAAAACAGACATTCATAAAAACTTAAAGGGGCAAAGGGGCAAAAATATCAATTCTATATTGTAGATTTTTTTTTCACCCAATTTTAACTTATTTCTTCTACTGTGGATTCATTATTATTCGTTGGATATCAATTTTCGTGGGTTTCGTGGGTACATGTGAACCACGAATTCAAATGTTCAACGAATTACAAATCTTCTATTGTCTTGTACCTAGACATTGACAAAACCACGAAATCAAATATCCACGGAAATGCAAGTTTTCCTCAATCCACGAAAATTGATACCCACGAAAATAAATGAATCCACAGTAACTCTTTCATTTTCAACCTATACAATTCAAACTTATAATGGGTATAAAAACTCACAATGCCATGGCAAAAACTCACAATGAATAAAAGACAAAAAACAATCTACAAAACACAACATAGAAAACTAAAGAATGAGCAACATAAACCCCACCAAAAGTTAGGGATGGTCTCAGGTGCTCCAGAAGGGTAAGCAGATTCTGCTCCACATGTGGCACCCAATGTGTAATGGTATTATGCTTTCCCCTGTATTATAGTATTATATCTTTTAACTCTTTGTATGCCAAGATACAGGATAATACGTTGTGAACATATTTCTTCTTATGTCTTGTATCATAAGCTATTATTTTTTTGGTAGAATATTTTGTGATGATGTGTATTTGATCTCATTATTTCACCAAAAGTCATTCAACAATTTTCTTTTCTTGTGAATTGATAACATTTCAGAGACTAGAAATATTTGCAATCCTAAATGTCCTCAACATAGTTGATGTCTTCAACCATTGTTTTTTCCCACAACTTGAATAGAGTCATTGAATCAGTATAGAATTTTAACATCAGTTTTTTTTATGATCAACAGATAGTAATATAAACCAAGTTATTTTCAATATCCTTTTTTATTTAGCCCTTTTAAGTCAACTTTGAAACTATTAATTTCGCAATTTTCTATCTTTGTCATGTATTGATAGAAGAGATGATCATAATTCATAGGACAAATTCATGATCATTCAATTTGCAAAAGTCACAAAAATAGATATTGTGTGGAAAATTTGTTTGTTAGCAGTATGTTAATATGTTCCATAATTACAATTCTGTAACCATATTAACATAACATTTTATTTCTCATTACTAAGCTGTGACTGATGCATTGAATGCACCTGGACATATTCCTGGTAGTAGTGGAACACGTAATCTTCATGATAATTTAAGTGATCTTAAAGCGCAGGTAGCAGCCAATCAAAAGGTATGAAATCAGAAGCTGATTATACATATTATAGGTTGTCCACTCTACGTACTATGCATATATATGGTGACAAAATATATATGAGACAGTCAAATGTTAATGTGATACACTAACATGTAATAATCTCTTTTTAGATTTTTTTGTCATATAATCTCGGGATATTTAACTTAATTAAATGGTGTATTTAAAAAACAGATTTACGAAGTCAAGGTAGTCTTGTGGTTTAGTGGTTGTCATTTGTTGATGGGTTACATATTTGTTTTTCGTTCATTTTTATACGACCGCAAAAAAATTTTGCGGTCGTATATTGGTATGACGTTGGCGTCGTCGTAGTCCGAAGACTCTTTGGTTTTCGCACTCTAACTTTAGTTTAAGTGAATGGATCTCTATGAAATTTTACCATAAGGTTCAATACCACAAAAGGACGGTTGGATTGATTTTGGGGATTATGGTACCAACAGTTAAAGAATTAGGGGCCAAAAATAAGCATTTTTGTAACTTCCAGACATAACTTGTGTGTTAGTGTATGGATCTCTCTGACATTGTACCACAAGGTTTCATATCACAAAGGGAATGCTGGGATTGATTTTGGGGGTAATTGCCTCAAAATTTTAGGAATTAGGGGCCAAAAAAGGGGCAAAAAACAAGCATTTTTCTAGTTTCATGACAATAACTTGTGTGTAAGTGTATGGATCTTTCTGAAATTGTACTACAAGGTTCCATATCACAAAGGGATAGCTGGAATTGAGTTTGGGGGTAATTGCCCAAAACGTTAAGGAATAAGGGGCCAAAAATAAGCATTTTTTTAGTTTCCAGACAATAACTTGTGGTCAAGTGTATGGATCTCTCTGAAATTGTACTGCAAGGTACCATACCACAAAGGGAAGGCTTGGATTGATTTTGGGGGTAATTGCCTCAAAATTTTAGGAATTAGGGGCCAAAAAGGGGCAAAAAACAAGCATTTTTCTAGTTTCAGGACATAACATTTGTGTAAGTGTATGGATCTTTATGAAATTGTACTACAAGGTTCCATATCACAAAGGGAAAGCTGGGTTTGAGTTTGGGGGTAATTGCCCTAAACGTTTAGGAATTTGGGGTCAAAAAGGGGCCAAAAAATCAGCATTTTTCTAGTTTCCAGACAATAACTTGTGTTCAAGTGTATGGATCTCTCTGAAATTGTACTGCAAGGTACCATACCACAAAGGGAAGGCTGAGATTGAGTTTGGGGGTGATGAATCAAAAGGGGGTTCAAAAAATTTGGGGGAGGGATTTTTTTTCCTTTTTTTTCTTTAAAATTTTCCATTTTTAATTGGTTATTTCTGATTTATATATAAAGGCAAATAATAATGATATGGTTTGAATAGGTAAATTAAAAAATTTTAAGTTCTTAGACCACATTCATTCTGTGTCAGAAACCTATGCTGTGTCAAATATTTAATCACAATCCAAATTCAGTGCTGTATCAAGCTTGAATGTTGTGTCCATACTTGCCCCAACTGTTCAGGGTTCGACCTCTGCGGTCGTATCAAGCTGCGCCCAGCGGAGCATTTTATTTTGTACATAAATTAGGCCTTTAGTTTTCTCGTTTGAATTGTTTTACATTTGTCTTTTCGGGGCCTTTTATAGCTGACTATGCGGTATGGGCTTTGCTCATTGTTGAAGGCCGTACGGTGACCTATAGTTGTTAATTTCTGTGTCATTTGGTCTCTTGTGAAGAGTTGTCTCATTGGCAGTCATACCACATCCTCTTTTTTGTATTGGTTAGAGTTTAGTGTAGGTAATCCTTATATTAAGGTTATGTTCAATTTTGGCCTGAAAATTGCTTTGTGTCTTAAAATGACCAGCTGTGTTGAATTGAAAAAATGACAACAAAAACAAATTTCAATCCCTTCCACTGCAAAATCTAGTAAACATATTTTAATTAAATTATTGGATTTCTCTTTAATAAATAAGTTACAGTAAAAAGAGAAAAACTAGCTTATCAAGTTTTACAAGAAAGTTAATTCATAAAGATATTTTCATACAAAACTGCATTTATTCACATGGGAAATTCTTGTCAAATTTTACAATCATTAAATAATGCAGAAGATTTTTCTTAATGCCTGACCTCATTTCATGGATCAGTGATCAAGGTTAAGTTTTTGGGTCAAGTCCATATGTTAAGTTTAAGTGATACTTGTAGTAAAACTTTCATATTGCAGACTTTGAGTTCAATCATGAGAAAAGCATGCGAGACATTTCAGCGTGTGCATTCTTGTTTGATATGTTAAATACTGACTTATTATGAGTAAAAGGACAGCTATATTAGATATATGGGATCCTTGCAAGGTCTACATGTCATTCAGACGGTTTACCTGACCTCGACCTCATTTCATGGATCAGTGATCTAGGTTAAGATTTTGTGGTCAAGTCCATATCTCAGATACTATAAGCAATAGGTCAACTATCTTTGGTGTATAGAATAATTGTAAAATGTCCATGTCTGACTGGCAGGTTTCATCTGACCTTGACCTTATTTTCATGGTTCATTAGTCAATATTAAGTTTTTATGGTTTGGTCTTTTTGTCAGATAATATAAGCAATACAGCTGATGTATTTGTTGTATGGTATGATTGTAATGTGTACATGTCTGTCTGGCATGTTTCATCTGACCTTGACCTCATGAAAATTTGGAAAATATTGTTAAACATTAAAAATTTATGATTGTGTGACTTTCATCTTTATATATTTGTAGGGTATAAGACTTATCAATTCTTTGATAGATGAATATGGGCTAAATGTAGTGCAGGCTTATATGAAGCATATTCAGGTAAGTCCTTTCAGATAGAAATCAATACTCTGTTACCAGTGCAAATAATATGTTCAGTTTACAGAACCTTTTGGTTTTATTTGGCTTTGTTATTTTTTAGTCTTTCATGTGCAAGACATGAATAATATTTTTTCTAACAGTTGTGGATGTTTTCAAACTTTTGGTAGTGAATTATAATTGTTAATTGAAATTCAGGATGCAGTTGCCTTAGCATCATCACATTCCAATTCCCTCCAGATTATATATCCCTGTTCCACATTCTAACACATAACATTTACTGAAATTCTCATTTAGTTAAAGTTTTGTGGTAATTCGGTTTGATAGAACAGTCTCATTTTATGTTCATAGCTATTTGCATGCCATTACATCTCAGTGTCATGTTGGTTATCTAGTCCACAAAATTTTCCTCATTGACTGAAATTTTCATTTAGTATATAAAATTTAATAATGTGGACAGTTTTTGAATTAGGAACCAAGTGTGGTAACGAACCAAGTGTGGTAACTTTTGGTTCTATGTACATTTTTTGATATTTTTGATGATATAATGATATTCTGTTGCATTAGCATCCATACATCTTATGTTCAAGCAGACTGGATCTCCAAGTCTCACTACAATCAAACCAAAAATATTGTATAATTTAACATTTTCTGGAAAGATCATTTCAAAAGGTTTTAAGTATGTTATATCTGTGTCATCTTTATGCATAGTCAATCAAATTCTAGTTTTCAATTTTGCTTCATGGCAGGCAATACTGATGTCTATTGTTGATTTTGTTTGGAGAAAGAGTTGTCTTGATTTTGTTAATGTGTTTGGAAAAAGAGTCATATGACATTGTACACTGTTTAGATCCTAATGGTAGTGTCATTCTAGAAATGTAAATTATACATTAGTTGTAATGTATAAATCCATGTTTGCTGATGGGGTTAACCTGATTATGGCCTCTATTTCATGATTTATTGATTGGGTTTTCATTTCTTTTCAAGTACGAAGAAAGGGAACTATATTCTATCTATGAATCATTGTAAGGTAGTATATTTAATGTATATTACCTTGGTTTTCAAGCTGTAATATTAGTATATCCTGTGCCAAATATACTTGATACAGTTTACAACGATCTGTTTTTATGCCCCCGCTGTAGCGGAGGGGGCATTAAGTTTTACCCTTGTCCGTCTGTACGTCCGTCCGTACGTCCCAAAGTTGGTTTCAGTTCTCTAAATTTAGTTTGCCTGAACTAAATTTTGCCTAAACCAAATGTTATGAAACTTATACACAATGCTTTTTACCACAAAACACAGATCAAGTTTGAATTTTGGTGGCGTCACTTTAACCGTTCTAGAGTTATGCCCCTTTACAGATGGAAAAATTGCTGAATTTTTCGTATCCGTTCTCTAACGTAAGTTTGCCTCAACCAAATGTTATGAAACTTATACACATTGCTTATTACCACAAAACTCGGATCAAGTACAAATTTGGGTAGCGTCACTTTAACCGTTCTTCAGTTATTTCCCTTTATAACTTTATATGATATGCTAGTGGGGGCATCATCTGTGTCCCATGGACACATTTCCCATTTATTTTTAAAGAGTAGGATTATAGAATTATTGAGTTTATGTTTCATGTTTCTATTTCTATTTCAAAGGTCAACTTAGTTTTCGCACAATTTCAAAATGTATGAATTGAAAATTTAAATACATGTATCATTTAAATCATTGCCAATAACAAACATTGCTACTAGGCTAATTATAACCACCACCAGCTGTACTGGCACTGTACAAAAATGTATGATACAAATTGTATATGGATAACACATTTTTCTGGAAAAACCATCATTAGATATGCTTTAAACAAAAAGTTTGGAAAGCTAAAAATAATTAAACATCAGAGACCATAAAAGCCAAAAGGGCCTGAACTGTCCAAAGATAAACCTTGCCTGGGTGACGCAGTACAAATAAGGTGAAAAATCTGTTGTTTGAGGTTATAATTGTCTTTCATAAAGTGCAAAACCAACTTATAGTATGGTGATGTCATGAGGATGGTTTGGAAAAGTTGGTACCTATTTTGTGTAATCAATTCCTTCTACATTTTCAATCCAAATCCTTGAAACTTCACAGAAGGATTACACAAATATTGAAGTTGTTCACCTGCTGTCATGAAATTGATTGAGGAATTTTTTTTCCATTTTTCTAGACTTGGGAACTTGGTCATTTTTCAGCGAAATTTTCAAAAGACTGTACCAATTTTGTGTAAATTGTGTAGATCTTAAAACTAAACAGACTGATTGCTCACAACGTGAAGTTGTGCACCTGGTATTATAGAAAATGTTTGAGGAATGATTTTAATTTTTCTTTTCTTGACATAGGAACTTTTTTTAGCAATTTAACAAAAAAGATGGTACCTATTTAATGTAATCAATTCCTCCTACAGTTTTCAACCCAAGTCCTTGAAGATTGCATACATTAATATGAAGTTATGCACCTGATATTATGGTACGTTATATTGTTTGAGGATTGTTTTTCCATTTTCTAGACTTGGAACTTAGTCATTTACATTTTATATTAAAACTTTTCATATATTTAATTGTTCATTGTAGACCAGTCTCCATTGTTTAATGTACATTCTGTGGATTTTGGCCATTTGAATAATAGATCCATTTTTTAAAATTTTTTTAAGCATAATGCTGAAATAGCTGTACAGGAAATGTTAAGAGAAATTGCAAAAGATACCAGAAGTAAAACAGGAAGTACCAGTCTGATGGCAGAAGATAGCATGGATGATGGTGCCAAAATTGCTATCAGGGTGGATATTGATGAGGAAAAGGTTTAAAATTATTTTATATCAAGTGAACGACAGGAATATGCAATTGGTAAAATTAAGATGACATGAATTACTGTGAATCAAGTAGCTTTAAAATGATTGATGTTTTATTTGTATTTTTCATTTTGAAATTTGCTGGAATAGTGTGAGCATTGAGCAAATAGCTGAATACCTGAATAGACGGGATATCCATTTAGAAATAACATGTGCTCAGGTCTCATATGAATCTAGCATACTCAAGTACTTCTTTGGAAATCAAAGTGCACAAAAATTCAGTTTAAAGGAATAATATTATAAGTACATATTTTGCAAACTTTCCTCTGCATGCTAACCTTAACTGCAAAAAGGTAGGTGATAAATCAAACAAGAAAATGGATAATTTTACTTGTGTTTTAATTGAAAAGATCCATGAGGAAATCTGTATTTGCCTTTCCTAGCTCCATTTCCACTAAAATCTTCAAATGACAAGGAAATCATAGTTCATTTAATTTCCCTTGAAGGGCAGTATTTTTTACATTTTCAAGATTGAAGAAAATGTAAAGATAAGGTCACTTCTTATAGCATCTTGAATTTGAAAATCAAAAATTATCAAAAATCTAACAAATAATGTCTTTCAGAAATAAAATTATGCATGTCTATAATTATTTCCTTTTGATCCTTGTTTTACGTTATAACTTAAAAGGTTTTTCTGACTTTGCTGTGTTAAAATAGAAATGATTTTAACAAAATGCAAATGTTTATATGTAATTCCTATTTAAATGTTTTTATTATTATTTAAGGGTACAGCAATTGTAGATTTTACTGGCTCATCATATGAAGTTCATGGAAACTGTAATGCACCAAGGGCAGTAACTCTGTCAGCTTTAATATACTGTCTACGTTGTATGGTTGGTCATGATGTTCCACTTAATCAGGTAGAATAACTAGCTTTATAGCTATTGTTATATAACATGTATTATTCAAGTTCAAGTCTTTTTTAGTCATTGCATGGCTTGACACTATAGGTGTCAACTTATCTTAGTGTTTGGAAAAATTGAAGATTAAAGTTGCAACTAGACCACACTATGTAAATGTGCCTTCACTTTCTTGATGTACTGTGACTTCTGTTTTTCGAACACCATGGTTAAAATAGTTGCTACAAGGCAAAAAATATAAATTCTTTGTAAAACGCTTAAAGGTCAAATGATAGGAACCGCAAATTATGTCTCATTGACATCTGCCAAAAATATGAAGGATTTTTAAGGTCTTTCTGGTTTGATATCAAAGAATTATTATTTTGAAGTGGAGTTTACATCATGCTTTGTCATTTGTAGCAATATTTTCTAAGTAAATTTTCAAAAATCTTGGAACATGATCAGAAGTTCAAACAATACTCTAAGCTTCTATTAGATGCATTATTAGTTTTATGAAAAAATAGAATGTATATGTGCAGAATTCATTCTGTAATAGATCATGTCCTTTCAAAAGTGAAGAATTAATATAGAAAACAAAATAAACATACAAAACATGTCCTGTCATCAAGTGGTGTTCCAAAATGGAAGTCACAGTACACTGAGAACATAAAGACAACATTTACAAAATGTGTAGACCTTGAATATACACACCCCAAACAAAAATGGACAAATATCAATGGTTCGCTCTATTAGTGCAGATGAATTTCCAAATCAACAATATGACCATGCATAATAAATAAATAAGTTGCTTTATAACATATGATAAGGATGCAGAACTTAACTAATCAGCTAATGACAGCACTTGTATATGCTTCTTTAATTTCCCAATACAACTTTAAAATGCATACAATAGCTCATTAACAATGTTGAAAAACTGCATAACATGTTTATTTTTTAGGGTTGTTTAAAACCAGTTACTACCATTATACCAAAAGGTAGTATATTAGATCCTTCAGAAAATGCTGCAGTTGTTGGAGGGAATGTTTTGACATCACAGAGGATAGTAGATGTCATCTTCAAAGCATTTGGCACTTGCTCCGCTTCCCAGGTAATAAGTTTTACAATTCAAAAATAGTAGATTCTACTTTTTCTTACACTTGTGATTCTGGTCACAAGTTATGAAACTTCATTACATAAAGAGTGGATAATATTCTGTTTGGTTTTTTAATTTGATTTTGGTTCTCAGCTCTTTATTCAAAAGTAAGATAACAAGACACACAAGTCAGAAACCTGTAATTCAGCAGTTGTTGTTTGTGAATGCATATCATATTTGTTTTTCATTAAATGTTTTGTACATAAATCAGGGCATTAGTTTTCTCGTTTCAATTTTTTACATATGTCATGTGTTCTTTTATAGCTTGCTATGCGGTATGGGTTTGCTCATTGTTGAAGGTCGTATGGTGACCTATGGTTGCTAACTTCTACATCATTTGGTCTCTGGATAGTTGTCTCATTGGCAGTCATACCAGGCCACATCTTCTTACTTTTATATTAACATTGACAATCAACCCACAAATATTACTTTCCTTTTTAACAAACCATTGAAACATTACCCCCTGTCTAAAAAAAGAGGGTAAATCTTAATTTAGGGAAGTAATATCAATGTAATGTAATAGTTAAGATGTTCTGCTTAAAAAAAACTTTCACTCAAATGTTACATCACATTAGCTATATGATTGTTTGCCTATTGTAAAAAATCATCCTATACATAAAGCATCCAATAGATCAGGACTAAAAGTCTTTATAGTACAGTTCAGATATACAATCTTTGTTGGAGCTATTTGAAATATTAAACAAGTATACAAAATAGATAAACTGTTTTTACTATTCTCCTGCAGAAAGTAAGAAGATAGAGACAAAGTGGTAGTTCTTAAAGGTGATAAACAGTAGCAAGGGCAGATAATAATGCATCCAAATTTAATGCCTTGTTTTCACAAAGTTGCTTGTTATAAGCATCCAAAGTTCGCAGAAAAGTCAATAACATTATCAAATAAGTAGCTTGAATTTGAAAGTATTTACAAAGGAAACCAAACATGCTGCATATTTACACACACAAAAACTGTGGCGTATAAAAATTCAAGGCAAATGAAAACTGTTTACTTTTCTATCATCAATAAATTTGTTTATGACTGTCATTTGTATATAGTTTTTTATATAGGCAGGAATTGCTGCACAACTATGTAGCATTAGGCCCCCCCCAAAAAAAAAGGGAAATGGGATCTCCAGCATTTAAAAAAATAGGCCCCCCTTTTTTTAATCGCAATATCCCACATCCCATTTTTTTTTAAACGCTATATCCCATATATCCCAAAAGTATGTCATCCCCTCATCTTTTAAAGATTTTGTAACTGATTGTGTGTCAGAATTTACAAGATAGATGTGCACAGAAACCCCAGGTTTTAATGCTATATGATGATTGTTTAGGGTGTAACAGGGTTTCTAGCTTAGAAATAAGCACTTTTGCAATAGACTTTGTACTGCTTCAAGCTTGTTATATCTTAATTGAAACAACAAAAAATCAACAATAGAATTTTTTTCTGCATCACCATGCATTGGCAAGAAAACCGTCTGCAGTTTTTTATAACCAATAATTGTATGATTTCACAATAATTTATTGCAATCAGCCTTCAGTAATAGGGAATTACTTAAAGGTCTATATTCTATAAATAAAGGAACATTTTGGAAAAAAAATATTTTTGTTTGAAAGATGTGCTATGTTTTCAAGAAAGTATTGAAAATGAAATTTTGTGTTTTAACATGAAATATGTAAATTTAATACAGAAATATCTGGAAAAAGTTAGCCATGATACCCCTGTGATATAGTGAAATAATAATTTGCTTTTAGCAGCCAATTAGGTTCAATTTGGCCAAAATAACCTAAGAAACATCGCTGATGAATTATTCACTTGCAAATGAATAATTCGACCTCATTTAATCCATATCCATGTGACCTTTAATTTAAATCCTTAGCTGGAGATGGGTTACGCATGTATTTAGCTATAAAAAGGAAATGAATGTAAACATTGAAAGTGAAACAAGGACGAACCATTTGGTTGACTGATTCGATCCACAAAAAATCATTCTTATACAGGTAAAAACGATGATAAACAAACTTCTTAACCTGCAATATGAAATCAAACAAATCTAGAAAAATCCAATTGCACATGGTCACTATCTGTTTATATTTATATTTATGTTTATATCAGGTTATATGACCGTCTGCAGTCTTCGGAGGTCATCTCGATTGGTTGATTAGATGACGTCTAGACAAAAATACACATGAAATGTTGATACATATTATTGAGTCCATGCATTGTTAATTGTTTATTTTAGACTTTTTGTAATTTGGATATATGTTTTAGTATGTTATAAATCAAATATGAGAATTTGAGCCAAATCGGTGTACATGAATTTGATAGCTAATGCCACTTTAAAATTTTAATGATAGTATTTTTATTTGAAATTTTAACGATAGTAATAATTCATTAAGTGAAAAATTTTTGACAATCATGATGATTTAGTATGCAAGCCTTCTTGTTTGTGTACAATAACAAATCCCCCTCACAAACCATATGTTGTCTGAGTTGTCTTTCTTTGTATATCTCAAAGCAAAATACATTCTCTCAATAGTTAAGCAGCCATTTCTAAAGTTTTTACACTCTGTATTACTGCACAGCTCTGTTTTAGTTGTTCTTTTGCCAAACATTTCTGGGTTTTTTTCTGAAATTAAAAGTATTTTTGTTATAATTGAAAAGCAGAAAAGTTATTTAGTGTTGTTGATAAATTATTGCTATGTTATATCTCAGTTTGAGAAAAGCGTTATAGGCAGTTATGAGAATAATGTTTATTATATAGTAATGTTATTAAACTATTTTTATTTCAGTTGTCTACAATAATTTTTTTTATGAATTGAATAGCCATATTTTGTATTTTGATAGTTAGGACAAACAAAGATTTTTGGAACTAACTTAAATTAGCTTAACTTTGCTGTAAAGCAAATAACAGGGTTCATTCAACCTTAACCACATTTTAATGGTTCATTTATCATCAACATTTAAAAATTTTCATGGTTTGGTCCATTTCTCAGTAACTATAAATCATAGGTCAGTTTAATATGGACTAGAGAGTGATTTTTATGAATACATATTCATCTGACTGGTTTCATCTGACCCCTATTTCATTTTCTTTGTTTATTGATTGGTGTTAAGTTTTCTGTAACATTTGTTTTATGAGAATAAAGTATTCATTCATTCAAGTTTTACGTGAACAGTTGAATTTCTCAGTTGAAATAAATGTTAGATCAAATATTTTTTATGAAAAAGGATGGTTGTAAGGGGTATATATTTGTCAGACAAGGTTTGTCTGTTCTTGGCCTTATTTTCATAGTTTATTGATCAACTTAAGTTTTCGTAATAATGTCATTTTTTAAATTACAATAAGTAATATGACACCAATATTTACGGTCTAAAAATTTGATGAAAATAGCAGTTACACTGACTTTTTTTTCTAAACACCTTCACATATTGAGCTGATTTTCAGTATATGAGACTACTATGATGAGTTACAGATCGAGTTTACTCTAGATTCCGCTCCGCTGATTTTTGACGAAATTATGGGCTTTTGGACTTTGAAATTTCATGAATAGAGCAGTAACTCAGCAGTTATACAGACTGTTTTTCTAAAGGCCTTCACATATTGAGCTTATTTTTAATATGTGAGTCTACCATGATGAGTAACAAATTAAGTTTACGTCTGGTTCCGCTCCACTGATTTGTGCCGAAATTACGGGCTTTGGACTTTGAAAATTTCTTGAAAATAACAGTTATACAGACTTTCATTCTCAAATTTACACTCCTTAAAATGGCTTCAAGCTTTTTTTGTGAGCGGGGCTATTTGTGTCGTTCTGACACATCTAGTTTTTACAACATCATTATTAGCTGATATATAGTTGTGCATCTGCAGGAGAGACAGTATGCTGAAACTGTAATCCTCCTCATGTCAGAAGCAGATGAATGTAATATATGTGCAGAATAATTTATTAAAAAAAATTTTTAAATCCATACGAATTACAATTATCAATTATATTATATTGAAACAACTCTCTAAATTTAGTTAATGATCTAAGCTCAAAATTGCTCACAGTACTCTGATACTTTTCAAAACCATGATTACTTTATGTGGGGCTTTATACAGGAAGATTGCAAGTTTTACATATCTGCAGTGATTTATATTTGCATTATTTTTCTACTCACGAAAAAATAAATTGCCTGTGAAAATTAGTTGGTTTACAGTATTCCTGATATAAAAGTAGTTTACATGTATTCTGTATGTGGTTAATAAAAAACTTGTAAATGGTAAAATAGAAAAAAATAAAGAACTTTTTATCTAAAGTCAGTTAAACAATACAATATTGTGTCTGATAAATCATTGAACAAAGACACCCGTCAGTATTCAAAAGTTGAAAAATTGAAAGATATATTAGATTTTAAAAAAACCCTACAAATAATGAACTGTTAGAGATTACTTTAAGTTCACTATAGATAATTACTTGCATGAAATAAAAATATTAAGAGTAATAAATCTTCTGATAAAAATAGATTTAGGTCATCAAAATGAAAGAAAATGATCTAATGCTTATTTTTATATAAAGCAGAGTTGGTTCTTCAAAGATCCTTCCAAATTGATTTTATGTAAGTTGCAATATTTGCCCCCAAAATTTTAGATTCAAGGTTCTTACAATGGTAGGACTCTAAGAAATTAAGTGAGAAAAATAAAACATATTAAAAGGCTATATTTCTGACCAAAATAGATTTTTACTTGTATCTCTTTGCTACATTTTGTTTAATTCTAACAACATCTAGTTCTTACAGTCTAGCTCACTGCCATTTTACCTCACCTGGCTTAATGGTCCGTGTGAGCCATTACCATCACCTGGCGTCCTTCCTCTGTTTCTCTTCACTATAAATTTCAACCAAACTTTGCATGAATGATCTTTAGGGTATCTATTATAAAGATTGCTCCCCAGCATAAACATAGCCCAGATGGCTA